GAAGGGGCCGCTCCGCGGGCCCGCTCCGCCCGCGCCGCCGCTGCGGAACCGCGAGCGAGGTCCCGGGGAGCCCCAGCCGCGGCCTGCCCAGCCAAGGGCCCTCCCCGGCTCCGGTGGCCTTTCCCTGGCTACGCGGATTTATTTTTTTATGGTTTACAGGCCATTTTATTTCTTGCCATATTCTGATTATTTACTTCAATACAATACCCTTTTACGGTGAAGCCTATACTTTTCAGGGGCCACTGTTGAAAACGCTTTGATGCCCCCAGCAGCTCCGTTAAAGGGATCTGGTGAGCGGATTTAAGCGCCGCAGTGCTTGGTCTCACAGAGCGGAGGTTTTAGGTTGCTCTTACCCATCAGAGAGTTTGAAGTGCTGCAACTACGCCGTGTACCTTGAGACACCTTTTGCAGTAGAATCGTCCGCTCCCACACGTGCTGCAAAATGCTGTGCAATTACCTTGCAAATGATTACAGGACAAAGGAAGCAAACTGCTAGAAATTTAAAATTAAGGATTTTGAAAACAATTCTATTCTCTGTAGTATGACATGTTTTGCAAAGGAATTTAAGCCTATTAATATAAGTACAGTAAATAAGATTATTGTACATTCGAATGTCACTCGTACCGACATCATAGACATTTCCTGTAATTAGGAGGCTAAAACTACACACTGAAGAAAAAGGCAATAGCAGTCATGCTTGGTTAAAACTTGCCGAATGCCAACATTTTTGTTGGTCTGTATTGTAATAACACCTCTAGAAAGTGTTCTCTTTATTGGTGCAGGTTTTATTCAGAAGACAAGAACAGTAGTTCTTTCGTCCCTATTTCTGATTTCTAAGGCAGCTTAGCCTTTCTGTCTTACCACATTACGTCTCTCTTAACTGCAATTTGTTCCAGCCAAGACGAGGTTTACATGTGTATCCTTTGCCTGTGCTTGTCCTTCAGAGGCCAGGAAGACTTATTGCATGATGATAGAACAGTTGCCTTCACTTTTTTCGTGAAGAAAACTTTCAGATAAAGAAATAAAATTTTCTTTTGAAGACCAAAGACTTTGAAATCAAACAAAAATTTCACTCCTTTCACAAAAAATGCAGTTTCTGGTTCAGGTGTCTGAATTTATTTGTGGACAATGTGAGTATATAAAAATACAGATTAATTTAGGAACAAAATCAAAATTTTAACTATTGTACTTGGAAAGGATGTGAATCATGGATTTAAAGTATTATTAAGCAGGAGTACAAAACTTAAATGCTGGAAATATCTTTCAGTTGCATAGTTATTTCTAAAAGGAGAAACATAAATATTCAATGTCCTGTTGCATGAATTGCCCAATTCCATATATCCTTTTTTTTTTTTTTTCTTAAAGAAGTACATTGAGCATTACAGCTTCAATCAGGAATCAGGATCTTTCTTCATCTATACAATATTTAAGAGTGCCAGTGATTTTTGCTCCTCGTTATGTGATTTCTTCTCACCAGAACAAATCTGAAAATAATCTTGACCAGATCATTTCCACTTTATTGATTATATACTTCTTACAATATATGTATGTTCATTGACTGATTAATACTTTTTTCCACTGCCTGTGCTGATGGGCAATCAAATTATTTTCTATTCTCTCTATGTCAAGCAGTACTCCGTTGAAATACAACACAGCAAGTGATGCCCCTGAAGTTACTGTTTCAAACTCCCTCTGCATACAGCACCGAACTAGAACTGCCTCTTCAAAAGTGGCTGCTCTATAATACTTACTAAGAAGGAAATCACTAGCAAGTAAGAGTGCAGTTAGCAGACAAGAAAGACATTAGAATCGCATTTGCATTGAATTACTCACATTCATTTGAATTTTCACATGTATTAAGGTTTGTTCAGACCCCCAAGTTTCCAGCCCATGACTATCGTTCCATTAGTGCTGGGCCTAAGCCTTCTGAGGAAGAACTTTCTGTGGGTTACTGCAGCCAGATGGGGAAGGCAAGTGATGGCATATATTGAAATGACAAGTAATGGAGTTTGACAGTCGTAGCTGCTTTGAAGAAAACCACACTGAGTATTGTGTGAAACTTGCAAAAACAACTCCTGTTCCCTGTGCTTGTGCAAGGTACATATTTTTTATTCAGCTAGAAAATTACTTGAATGCTAGCAGTAGCTGGCACGCACTTCATGTATGACCTTGGCCTAATCCCTTAATCACTGTGTGTCTCTGTTTCCTCCTTTACAAAAGAAGATAGTAATGCTGGAGTCAGAAATGTCTTAGCACTTATGGAACTGTGAGTTGCTGAGGCATGTTACTATATTAAGTCTTAAATAATGCCATATATTTATGACTACACTTGAGCAGACCACACATGTAAGTGACTGACAATGCCTTTGGAAATTAGGCCACATAGGGTCAACACAGATTGATCTCTGTAGAGTGTTATATTGAGCAATTACCATCATTTTTGCTGAGTATTTACCTGAAAATTAAAACCTGGCTTTAAAAGAGAAAATGTCAGCACAATTACTAGAATAATGTCAGGGACACATGGATAACAGAAAAATGTGCCAAGGGTAGCAAGAATCAGGGACTGGGTTGCAGACAGAGATTCTGAGATGTGTTGTAAAGGACACCCTGCTTGAGACAGCTTCTCAACAAGAAGGCATTGCAGGTGTTCTCAAAAGGTTTTAATTCTCTTGGAAAAGAAGTCACTTTTAGCTAGGATTCCAGAAAATTGTCTCACAATGGGAAAATCCTAAGTGTTTTTTCACTTACAGCTCCAAAAAGAATAACATTTATTACTGCCTTTATATCATATTCAGGCTGGTGTTTTCTATAGAGTTTTAGCTGATAGCAGGACAAATGTCATGGGCACTCTTAATGGCACTGTGCGATAGTAAGGATTGAAAGCTTCAGACTGGAATAATTGGACTTTTGTTATAGAAAATACAAAACTGACCAAAAATCAAGCTGAAATACACCTACAATTCAAACAAAACAAGAAGACTTGGATTCCTTCATATTTTTTTAATTGATACAGCAACTAGAAGCCAGGATAACTGATGTTTTTGTTAGCTATCTGCCTACTTCGGTGTACATGCCAAGCTGATGTTCCTAAAAATATCACTCCTCTGTAGTAAATAGATCAGAGTGTGATATAAGCAGGCCCTGAACACCTCCATAAATTTAAGGGAGTAGTTTATGCTGAAGACCAGAGTTGTGCCCAGTGAAATAAAACTGTTAGGTTATTTATGGATTATTTATTTTTTTGCTTTAACACTCTTATCCCTGCCACCCCCACAATAACCTAGATGAAAACACTGAAAGTACCGACTCCTCCAAACCCAAAAGATGAATAATTCCATACATTTCTCTTTTTAGGATGAATATTATACTTCTAAAAAAAAAGTTACTAAATGTTTGCTACACATTTCAAAGCAGTGAGGTAAAATATTACAGAAGCTTTCTTGCTATATCAGGTAAAATTTAGTTTTATAGAATTTAAGTATATTGTTAACATTTTCTTACAGAAAACCTTTAATTTTTTTTTATTTTTTTATTTTTTTCAGAAATGCAATCGTGAAAAGCTTTTTGGATTTAAATCCTCCTACATTACCATAGTCTCTTCTTAGGCACTCCACTGTTGCACAAGCCTGGGGAGCACAAACATAGTGTCAGCGTCTTGACTTTCCAAAAGTAGGTGCCAGCCTTTGCAGGCCCGGCAATCAGCAAACATTCCCGTGCTGCTGCACAGCCAGGTGTGTTTACGAGGTGGTTCTGACGCAAGCCTGCAGCAGGAGCTGGGTGAGAGGTTTCCTCTTTGGGAGGCCAGCTCCTGCAATGACGCGTCCGTGTGGTGAGCACACGAGTGACGCTGACGTGACAAAAATGCCAGTGACATGCTGGTGTTTACTGGGAACGGGGCTGAGTCATTGCTCAGCTTGGAGGACTCCTCCTTAGCAGAGCCTCAGCTTCCTGGAAGCTTCTTCCTCAGTCAGCTACCCTCAGAACTGACTACAGAAGAGCGTGTTTTTCAGAGATCTGCAAATACTCTGAAATTATCTTTTCTTCTTCCTGAAATTATTGCTCAAAATCATACGCATTACAGTGCTTTTTCCTAAGTAAACTCACTTATGTGGGTTTTGGTTTTTTTTGGTTTTGGAATGCTTTTTATTTCAAATTTACTTTTTTGATGTTCTAGGCTGAAGAGTGAGAAGTAAGTAAACTTTGTAGCAGTTAACTACTTTCTACCTCAGTTTAGCTTCAGTTGTATCACTACTTAGGACAGAAAATAGAAATTAAGCTGCCCTTACTCATGTCCCTTCTACCTCCAACTGCCAAGGGAAGACAGAAGTTAGGCAAGAGTTCGCTATTTCAGGCTGCTAGCTCTACCCTGTCTCCGGGTACCATAGGCAACAGCAATAAATCTTGATCCAAGACAAGTGGAAGGAAAGATCAGTGACTCAGATCACAGGACTTCTTGCTGTTTTAATGGCACACACTACGTTGTGACTTTCTGAATCAGAAGGTTAATTAAGATTTGGTATTTGTTCCTCATAGTTCTACTCAGTTGTTAAAAGAGTAAAACACATGTAGTCCTATCAAGCATTTGATGTGTCTCCCTAAAGTCCAATGAAGATTATTAATTAATTTGAATTATTTTGTTGATGAGAGGACTTAAAATAAGAAGGAAGTGTATTTATGACAAAATGATTCTTCTGTATTGTGGGATTAAAAAAATCCATTTTAGAGTTTTATTGAAAAGACTGTTTTACATACTTAAAAGCTTACTAATGCCTTTCACTATTCTTGTAATGAAATTATGCCATATTCACCACCATTGAATATCATGACACACAAAAAGAAACAGTCTCAAGCTTTTAAAATCTGCATTTCTAGATTAATTGCTAATTGAAAAGAACTACATCGTCACACAAACCAGGAAAAATAATCAGAATAGTGTGGTAGAGCATGGCAAAATTCAATAATAGCACTGTCCTAGGGCACATGAGAAGGGCACAAGAAGAAAGTGTTATCATTTACTACTGTAAAGAGGGAAAGTTCCTTGCCCCGATGATGACACTTAGGGAAAATGGGAAAGTGATGTATTTCTGATGGTTTGTTTGATCAGAAAGTTAACATTCTGCAATCTCAATTGAGCTTGGAGAGTTGGGTTTGTATGAAAGGTGCCATTCAAACAAATTAAATCTATAGTTTGTTTAGAATTGTTCTAGCAATGTGAAACCAGGTTTCTGCAGATCTTCCAGTCTATACTTCTGCAAGGAAAGAATGTACATTCCTTAAGGACTTTATTAGAGGCAACAAAATGTGTACCAAGTTTTCTCTTCATTAATTTTTATTGATAAATGAAGATCACATTGTGAATATATTGGGATTTGCCCTCTGTTGTAACCTTTGAATTTACTACCAGGCTTCAAATGGTATTAAATAGAACTGGCTGAAAATGGGGTACTGATTCTGCAAACAGGGTAGCTTTTCATTCTCTGCCCATTGCTAGTGAATGCAGTAAATGATGCTGTGGGGATTCCTCCTATTTTCTTAGCTTTTGTTTTCATTTTGTTGATTTTTTTTTAAAACTTCCTTAACAGAAATTTTTTTTTTTAAATACCAGAAATAACCCCTAAAGATCAAAGACCTGAAATTCATTCTGTTATGTTGAATGTGAGGAAAACAATGAGAAACTCAACAAAGACATTAAAAACAAATTGACACATTCCTGTTTAGGGAAGATCTTAGAAGAAGCAGGTTGTGAAAGAGAAATTCTTGTGTCTCACATGTCCTTAGAGTAAGCTGTACTAGATTAAACAGCACTTCTAGTGGGAGAAAGTTGTGGATATACAGTTATAAATGTTCCAAACACCATCTTTGCTCACTACATTTCAAACTATGACCCAGGCCAATTAAGGAGACCTTTTTGATCTGATAGTGGATAGCTTTGTGGTAGAGCTGCATTTTTGTAAGAGAATAATAAGTGGCCATGGAAGAAAATTGGTATAATTATCAGATCATTTGCCTAAGAGCTTTCAGTTAACTATCTAACACAAACATAAGGGAAACTACAACTTACTTCTTTTTTAAAGGCATGGCTATTAGCATATTCTTTTAAAGTTTCATCACCTGTGTTTAACTCCTTAGGAGTTCAGAGATCCACCTGATGAGTGAGTAGCACAGGAGAAACTATTCATATCCATTTTTCTTTTTGTACCCAACATTTTACCCATTTTGGACCCACTGACTTATGCTGGTAAAATTGAATATCCATGAAGAGGCCACAGATTACTCCCACAAGTGCATAGGATTTGATATTTCAGTTCCTGTGCCCCTGGTACCAATACCTCAAAAAATGGAGTCAGCTGTAAAGTAGTTCCAGTCCAATTCCAGCCCAAGTTGCCACAGCTAAGCTTTTAATACCAGTGTTCTGATTGACTCTAAGTTATATAAAGTAAGACACTAGCATTATTTTCTTATCCAAGCATATTGCATGTGCTTTTTCTCTCAGTCAGTTTTCTGTGTTACAAGGTTATATTTTTGTCCTGTAAAACCTACTGTAAAAGCTCTTTGGGGCTTTTCTGTATGTAAAATTTCTGTGTAAACACTGGTCTCAGTGGACAAAGGTAACTTATTAAAGTGATGAAGTATTGTGTGTCAATCTTCTTCAAAGCAAGAATGTACTCTACCCATTTTTTCATACAGGGCCAGCCTTTAGATCAGCAGGCCAAATTATCTTTGTAAAGAAATGCCATTCTACAGATGTCAGTAAGGCCTCACCAGTTTAGGCCAGCAGCTAATAGGGCCCTAATACTAGCACTGATTATAGGAGTTTAGCTAAACTGAGTCTACAGAAATTTAAAGTTTTGTACAAGATTCTTAGCTGGCTTGACATTTTAAGGTGAGACCCAGACCCAGATCTAGTGGCAGTTCTGTTCATTTAGAAAGCAGCAAGTTGCAGATCAAAAGAGTGCAAAGACTTGATAGACTTTTTGCTCATATTTCAGTGAGAAGCACCATTGAGATTGCCTCTTGCAAGTTAATATAAAGGGAGCATTGGACAGTTATTTTGATAGAGAAATGTTATCTGCTTACAACATGTTCTCAAAGTAAGTGGTGTGCTGCACTGACAATGTCAGCAGTTATTTTAGAGGAGAAACATTTGTCTGTGTCATTTTTGCAGTAACATTTCACATACAACAATTAGTCTATGTCCCAGTCCCCACTCTGATGAGAGAAGGAATAGCCTGGGGCTGCTGAATCTTATGCTAATGATTCCCAATTCCCAACTATTTCACAGCGGAGGACCAATGTCATTGACAGACATTTTAAATATTGAAAGGCCCCAGTGAAGATTCAGGCCTCACTGTACATATGAGATAGATGACATCTCCACCTCAGAATTAACAGTAAAAAGAAAATTCAGACAAAGGCTACAAAACAGATCAGAGACTAACACAGCCCATGCTGATAAGATGCTCAGTAGTTTAACTCCAAAGTCTCCATATTAGTGGTCTCCCAATTCTATTGCACTAACTCTTTTGGTTGTGCAAAGAAAGCCAAGAGGAAACCTGCATTTGCACTTCTATAGGGATCATGGCTGCAAGCTAGCCTGCACTTCCTGGCCATGGGGTGACCCACAGACAAGGAATATGTACCTAGAGGAAAGGATTCTGTCTCAGCACTGGAAAGAAAGGGAGCACAGCTGGAGTGAGGCTGGCCTTCCCAATGTCACACCAAATCAGGGCTTCTTTCCTTATTGGGAAACTTACAAATCAAAGCCAGAATCCAGCCCCATCTCAGAGGCAGGGCTGGTAAGATTGCCCAACGTTTAGCAGTACTTGTAACTTGATAGGAAAGCAGTAAGCAATGTTTTGAGAAAAACAGTTCATCACTGGCCGCAGAAGTTATATGAAAATATACTTGCAAGTTATCTCAAACAGGTAACCTTAGGAAGCAGGCTTAAGACTGACATTTGGAGGTAAATTCAGCCCTCCATAACAGTGTTGTATACCACCAATGTATGAAATTCAATCAGTAGGTGCTTGTGCATGTAAATGTGGGCAGAAATTAACCCAAAAGGACATTGGAGGGACTTCCTCCTGTGGTGTTAGGCAAGAAAGATGAGATCTTTGTGTTCAGTGTCTGGTGCCTCATGTATAGGCAGTTCTTTAGCAGAACTCTGCTGTAGCAATAGAATATCCAGTTTTAAATAATAAAGATAATAAAGATAATGAAGACTTGAAGAATGTAGCCCTACCTACTTTTCTTCTGTACTTTGATAAACAGTTGTGGTAGATACTGATACCCTGGTGTCTCCTAAAACGGTTAGAAGATGCAACCATCAAACCATTCTCAACTGTAAAATGATAGTTTTGTGTCTCCTATAAACTAAATATCTGACTCCTTACTGCCTTCCAGTATTAACCTGTACCTAACTGCACCAAAGGTGACGTTGTGCTCTCACACAGCAGTTTTAGACACCCCACACGGCTGCTTTAGCTGTGAAGCAGAATTTGAAAGGTAGAGAAAGTTTGTCATTATCAACTGTATTCTGTAAATCACAGTTGACTAGGGACATTAGTAGGGACATTCCAAAATAAGAGGACTTGAAAACACCACCACCATTACCACATCTGCATTCATTGTTTTTAATGAAAAGTTAGCTCGTTTGAATGGTACCATGCATTCAAATGGTACATGAGGTACATTACATATTTAGCCTAAAACAAGAGAAAATGTCACCCTCAGTAAGTATGTCATTAATATGGTGGTGCTGGCTCTGCACTATCTCCAGGCTTGTTTCCCTACCTCCACTCTGCTTCTGTAGCTAAATTCATCAGCTTTTTAGCACTGGCAGGAGCCAACACAGTGCTGGTGTATGCTGATGCTTCTTGGCTTAGCTCTGTGACGCTTTATGCTGTCAAGAGTAAGCACAAATCACAGATGAGGATTAAAAGCAAGCTTAATAATTAATATTAAAGGGCAGTCCTGCCAGTACAAGTTGTGGTTTATAAAAACATAGAATAGCAGAATACAAAATCGTGCAAAACTAATCTATCTTGTACTACTGATCTGTAATAGGCAGTTGCATCAGAGAGGGAGTCTCTTCTGATTCTCCTTCTGGCCTTAGATACTTACAAATAAGACTGATAATTTAAATATTAGAATTAATTTTATTAGTATAAATTATGTAGATAGGAATGAAAGTTTCAGTATCACTTCACAGTGATGTTGCTGGGTTTCCTTTCAGGTAGCCCCCATTGTCAGAGCTATCTAGCAAGGTCAATTTAAGGCCAAACCTGGATGATAAAATATTTTGTTCCTCGGGGCTTTCGTGTCAGATGTAGAGAATTTCTGGGACTGTAGAAACCCCTGTCCCAGCAATCCTTTGAAAGAGCTTCCCATTCTCTCCCCCCTTTCTCATACCACTAACGCCAACCCTCTGGTGCAGTTGTCACAGAAGGTTAAAAGATATTCAAGGAAACACTTTCTGGTCTCCAGAGTGCCTTAAAATAATTTCCCAAAATTATAGTTTACATGGAAAATATGGTTCATTGGCTTTTCCATCTTTCAAACAGGCCTCTCCCACCTCATCCTGCACATGACAGACATATCCTACACATAAAGTTTTTCTATTAAGATCAAGTAGAACAGATAGGAGGGAGCTGGGAGTCCCAGGGTACCCCCTGCACCTTGCAGGCACTCCCAAGTACACTTGTCCTCTGCCACCCAACCCACAAGCTCCTGCTTTCCCCCTGTCCCAGCAGGAACCCCCTGGACCTTCATTCAGGCCTGGTGATGGGCGTAGCAAGGCCAGTGCAAACATTCCTCAAAAACTCTCTAAATCTCAATACCACTGATACAGTATTTCTGAAAAGTGGCCTCCTGCACTATTTTTCTTTCTCCCCAGAAATGATGCCATGTCTAAACCAAATTTGGAGTAAATTCTAAATTTTCCTTGACAGTCTGTCCAATCTTTTTTCATCTCTTCCTCCCATTTTCATTCCAGACAAGGCTTTAGTCAAAAAATTACTTTAAATTCCAGGAAATTCCAGTATTTAAACTCAAGGTTTGGCTATAAAAACATTTGAATTTTATTTAAATTGTGCTTAAGTGTTGCCTTCAGCTTTCAGAACCATGGAATCAGAATGCTCTTTGTAGGATAACCTAAAGCTCAGCCTTACATCAAAATTCAGATCACACCAGAAGATGTCTGAGGAAAGCAGTAAATGGTGGATCTACAGGAAAAAAAATAATGGTTAACATATCTTTGTATGTTTCAGTACGTAAAACTTGCATGTTTGTAAAACTTAAATTTGTAACTTGTACTAACCTACAAACTCCAGCTTGAAAACCAAAAAATTACAGTGACTGATCAGATACCAAAATGAAAAAGATGAAGGTAATCTCATTACCACCCTTTCATGAATGTATCCCATCCGGTTCTGAGTCTAATCTGCTTTGAAGAAATGGAATAATATGATTTTAGACCAGAAACAAACCAGGAAAAAAAGCTTCCCTACACTTATATAAACATTTTACCATGTAAATAGTAAATTTTCTCAAGTTTATAAATAACACCAAATTGTTATTAAATTTTTGGAGGTTTTCCCAGGTTTCTTTTATTTTCAGGATTCTGTCTTACTTGGTACAATGTTTACCTTGGTACAATGTTAATTACTGAAAATTTATTCACCAATTTTAGTGATCTAGTTAGTAGAACAGGAGCCAACACTTGTCGCTAAAGGACATGAAATGATTCATATGAACACCTTGCAGCATTAGAACAGGAAAGAACCAACCTTTGTTCTCTGACTCCAGTATTTCTAGATTCTCAACAAGGACCAGGGACTGGAGAACTAAGTTACCACCTTCCCAATCACACTGGTCATGCGAAACATTCATCAAAAGACGTTTCTTAGAAGGAATGTGATAAACAACTTATGGTTATAGAGCTATCATGGGAAAGTAACTAAAACTATGAAAACATTATCAGAAGGCTTTAGTTTTCAGGGTGACAAACAGTGACAGTTCAGCTAAAACACAGGATAATCTTGTATTTCAAAGTGGGAAAAGTTTAAATCCTTGACCACTCCATAGATTTTATTTTGCCATGGAGCAACTCATTTACCAATGCCAATTCATCAGCCTTGCTGTAGCTGTGAAGAAATTCAGAGGCTCTGGTTTCTAGACAGCATTTGCTACCAGCTACTATTAGGACTTCTTAAGCAGATAACCTGTACAGCAAGAACCTTATTTGCATGACAGTGCTCCATGTGGCCTCAATGCATGTCTGCCAAGGTCGATAAGGCTGGCACTTTGCAAATAACTAGACCCTTTTGTGGGGTTGGGATGGGGAGGCACAAAAAAGGGCACAGCAATATTTACTCTTCACAGAATGTTTTCTCTGGCACCTCCATAATTTGTTTCCAGTGCCTCTCTCCCCATAAAAGAACAACAAGTACATTTATTTGTGTTTATAGAAACCAGTTCCCATCTCAGGCCTACTTTGTGCAGACTGTGTTATCAGCAGCTTCCATTTCTTCTTAACTGGGGAGTAAGAACAAGCTATAATTAAAGGCTGAAGGTATTTATTCTTTCTTCCCTGCCCTGGAGGGACTGAGCTGTTGCCAGCAATTACAGGCAGCTGGCAGTTCC